AAAATCAATGAAGAAACGATCTTCAGCGCCAGAGAGAGTGAGGTCGACCTGATCATTTAGCTGGTGTGGACAACAAACTAGCCATAAAAGAAGCAAAGGCGCGTCTTAGGAAATGTGTTGTGAATATTGTGACACATAGCGCCATCTGTTGAGCGAGTCTCCTACTCGCCAGAGCTTAATGGCCGATCTCCGCTTTACGCGAACCACGACCGCACAAACCGCCTGGCGGCGTCTGGGAGGACCGTGACAGTCGCCTTCTAGATCGACGCGAAGTCATCTCCAACATACTAGATGTCGCTTTGTGGTACACCCGGTCTTTTCGAAGCGGTACTTGAGACTCTATATAACTCGGCGGCCGGCAGATGGCGGAGAGTACTGAATACGGTAGAGTAGCAGTGCGGAGTGAAGATAGTGCAGTCAATGGTGACATAGAATTACTCAGACATAAATAGTGGTGTATATATAAATGTCTTATCAAGTTAAATAAATCAGTGCATTTCTTTTTGTGGAATCCAGTGTTTTAATTCATACCCAAAAGAACCGAGAAAAACGCTCCAATATCTAAGAAATATAAGATACAAATAAAGCAGTGTTTTAATTGTTCAATAAGAATCAGGTTTTGAAATCCTTAAATGGTTTCCCTGTTAACTTTAAAACTCAAAGTTTGACAGAAAGTAGGCAGGGGTCATCGTTCCCCGATCGCAATAATTTTATTTTTTGAGTCGTTAGAGTCAAATGGAAAAAATTAGAGGATATGCGTATCTCAATCAAAAATTTGTTTGCCATCTTAGGCCCGTCTCGTCAGTCGTCCCTACAATTGTAGGGCGCCTTTATGCCTCCTTGATTGTCATAGTTTTATACTTCTCCGTGTCAGCGCTCTATTTTGAGGTTATGTCACAAACATCTATTTGCATCAAATTGTGCTTGCTTTTGAGTTATATCATGTTTTATCAGCCTGAAATTTCCTACAATTTAAAGAAAACATATCTTCACAATAGGAGAGCTCTGACGCTGACACGGGACAAGTGTAATCTAGAAATTTTTGAAGGAGAGAAAGGAGTATGACAATCAAGGAGGCCATAAACGCGCCCTACAATTGTAGGGATGACTGACGATACGGGCCTTAGGCTGGACAACCTAAGGTACATGTCATATAATGTAAAAAACGTGTTATCTCGATGTTTCGCAATTACAATACTTCCGTCAGTAGACGTGGGAAGTAACGAATCGAAGTGGTACCATCCTGTCGTACCTTGATACCTGACCACAGTTACGTCACTGCGCCGGCGGTACTCACTTCCACAACGCAGGTGTCCGCCGGACAAAAGTCGCGGCCGTGGTGGTACCTTGATCGTACTGCCGACGTCGGTTCCCCTCGCAAGCACCAGCACACCTCAGTCGAACATGGCCTACTCGCGTTATTCGCGGCTTTCGCGGAACTGCCATTGAGAGAACCACCCGTCATCCGCCCATTCTGCTGCTTTCGGTACCACTATTTCGGCGGCGGTTCTGATCTAAACGCCTTTTCGGGTCGTACTTCGTATGTCTCTCGACGGTTCCAAGCTTTTCTGCAAGTTGTAGTGCGTCATATCGGTGTTCAAGGTGGTACTTTTAGTGTCGATGACATAGTTGTAGGTACTGGTGTGTGCGGAGGATGAAACATCTGTTCTAACGATTGCACCAGTGGAATTTGGATTTGGTACTGCCTGTCGCTAGCTTAGGTATGGTAGAAATAGTTGATTTAAGCCATACATGCTATTTAATATCATGATGGTACCCGCTATTTATGATTATGGCGTATATCATCTTCCTGAATCTCAGTTCATCAGCTCATCAGGTGGCAAATGTTTTTTGAATGAGATATGCCATGTATATCGCGAAAAACTAGCATAGTGTTGCCTATGCTCTGGGCACGCTGCTAAAAATGAATTTTTTTCATTGGTCGTTATATGCGAACGATGCTGTATATACTGAGGCATTTCGGACGTTAAATTTGAATATAATCGTGAAAAAACTTTAAAGAGTCATGGTGCTGAAGGGGTGAAGAATTTGTAAAAAGCTAGTCCCACTTTTATATTTCGTATAATCGTATATGTTTCTCATGTTTGGTTATTTAGTCAAAATGTTGACCGTTTAATTATATTCATTAGATTGCGCCAACATTGAATTTGAGTTTGTAAGCCTACAGAAATCTAGGGACTTTTTGATGTAATTAAGGTGATTGATGATACACAAATTATCGGAGAATTTCAGTTCAGGCAGGATATGCAAAACTGTACAAGCTGAATTTCTTAAAAAACGCCATAGTTACTAATTTCTTGGAAATAGCTTTTGCTTTTCGTCTTTGAGAAATTTTTCTTGAAAATTACTATCCAAATGATCGTTTGAAATATCATCATGACCAAAATGAATAGAAAATCCGAGTATCGTCGGCAAAAAATTGTACGCTGCACGATTTCACATCTGAGGTATACAATGAAAATAACACGGGTCCTAACACCGATCCCTGTGGTACCCCAGAACAATTTTTTGTGCAGTGGAGTACTGTTGACTTGATCGAACTTTTTGAAGGAGATTTTCAGGGTACGTTTGAATAAACAAAAAGAGGTTTTTCAGAAAATCCAAGCGCAGAACAGCTCGTAAACAATGTTTAAGTACTTGTGCAACAGAAATGTTCAAATTAAGCTAGATTCTCGTCTAAACTAAGTTAAATATACTAAGTGACATATAAATCCGACACCCAGTTTAAATGGTTTTATTTTAATAAAAGTTGGTGATGTCTTTATCTTACTGTAAATAACAAGTGAAAAAATTTCAGCCTTATCAGTTGGACATTCCGGTTTTTATACTGCTTTTTTTTAATTCACTAACGCTCTAAAAATGAATGTTTCAGCCGCAGTAAAGAATCAACGTTGGCGGATTTTGGTTCTTGACATCCTTTACGATCGGTTACGATGCCTAGAGTACGGAGACCTGTACGATTTCGTCAACTTAGTGAGTTTGATAGGGGCCGTATAGTGGGACTTCGGGAAGCTGGACTTTGTTTTCGGGCAATTGCAGTTAGAGTGCAAAGAAGTGTAGACACTGTGGTTAGGTGTTGTCAGACATCGAGAAGGCCGTACGCAAAGAGCAAGGGGCACTGGACGCCGCCGTAGAACAACAGACCGTGAAGATCGCCGCCTAAGACTATTGTCCTTAAGGGACCGTTTCTCCACTACCAGGTCCATTGCAAATGAATGGTTTGCAGAACACGGAAGACCTATTGGCATGCGAAGTGTTTACCGACGAATGAGAAGTTTTGGCTTGTTTTCATACCGGCCACACTGGGTCCTCCCTTTAACTCGAGAACACCGACGTAATCGCCTTGAGTGGTGCAGACAACGGTCACTCTGGGATCAGCAATGGAATAATATTGTCTTTAGTGACGAGTCTCGATTTTGTTTAGGCATGCACGATGTCGTGCCAGGGTTAGAAGGCGACGTGGTGAAAGGAGGAATCCACAGTTTTTTGTTGAAAGACATGTTCATCACACTGTTGGAGTTATGGTTTGGGGTGGTTCCAGGTCACCTTTAATCTTCATCAGAGGTAACATGAACGCGCAGCGTTATATCCACGCAGTTCTAGAACCCCATCTTTTACCCTATCTTGACACCCTGGCAGATCCAACTTTCCAACAAGATAATGCCCGACCACATGTTGCAAGAGTCACAATAGACTTCTTTCAACATAATGATGTCACATTGTTACCATGGCCACCAAGATCTCCCGACTTATCCCCAATTGAGCACGTGTGGGATATGATGGGTAGGAGATTGCTCTATTTGCAACGTCCTCCTCAGACTTTAGAAGCACTTCGAGAGGAGTTGGTGGTTGCCTGGAATGAGATACCACAGGAGGACATTGACCACCTGATCAGAAGCATGCCTAGGCGCGTTGGAGAATGCGTAGCACATCAGGGTGCATCCACACATTATTAAAGGTCCAAGGGCTTTCAAGTAGTGCAATCATTTTGAAATTTTTATCATTTACTTATTATGCTTCATTAAGTACTACTTATACAAAATTTATTAAAATAAAACCATTTAAACTGGGTGTTCGGATTTATATGTCACTTAGTATATAAATAGGCGCAGAGCAGCTCGTAAACAATGTTTAAGTACTTGTGCAACAGAAATCTTCAAATTAAGCTAGGTTCTCGTCTAAACTAATGTTAAATAGCATTGGACAACAAGCCATAAGTTATTTATGTTTTATTATCTGTTTTTTTTACAAAATGTTGGAAACAAAGAGACGTTGTTTATTTTGTGTTTCAAGAGACCTTTACCTAAGTCTCAATAATATTTGATAAAGACTGATTATTACATATTACATAGAGTTAGTTTTTCTCTCTTTAATAAATTGCTATTATTATTACTAATATTAATCGATAAAGACTGAGTTTGTTTTTCCTTAGAGATACCCTACAACCTTATATCCCAAACTCCCATATCATACTCCTTAGTCGGAAGTTTCGGTTTCGACCTAAAATAAAATTGTACCAAAATTTCGGTTTCGGTGCAGGCTGAAATACTAGTTTCAATCAGACACTAGTTACTGACTTAAAGTCCAAGGTCTCAAGTCACGCCCTGACAAGACATTACAATTCGTAGAAATCATTTTATACGGCTTCTGTTCTCACTGCTCATCGAAGTCTCCACCAGTAATAAGCAACAAAACGAATTAAGGCACTGATTATAAATAGGAAAATCGATAAAGTATAAAACTAGGCTAATTTGAGGATTTAGCTGGCAAACGTAAACATCACTAAAATTCATAGGGTTTATTGTGTCCTAGAAGTCGACGTCTAGTCGGAAACAGGGAACAGGCCTAGTCATACTTTCGGGTAATTTGGGGCGCTAAATTTTAATATCGTCGTGCGAAATCACTTACAGGGTCGTGGTGCCTAATTAGGAGTGAAATATTCGTAAAAAATGAGTTACACATCAAAGTACTTTGGATAACAAAAATTAAAAAAAAATGTAAGGAAGAGTGTTTTTACGACTTTTCATGCCACAAAAAACACTACAACAAAAATGTTGGAAAGTCCACCATACATTTCGGTACACCTTCTCACTCGACGAATCACTGAACGACGTACTCGAGCTAAAATTTGAATTTCTTATTTCTTCACAAGCATTTATGATTTCATTTTTCAAATCTTCTACTGTTTCTATTGGTGTAGCGTAAACTATCGCCTTAAGGTGTGCCAAGAAATGAAAGTCTATTGGACTTAAGTCAGGCAAGCGAGGTGGCCAGTGAACTCGTCCACCTCATCCAACTCAATTTTCACGAAAGGTGTCATTCAGATGAGTTGTGACAGGTATACTAGAATGAGGAGGAGCTCCATCGTGCAAAAAAGTTATCTGGTTACGACCTACATTTAGAGGAACTTTTTAGCAGTATTTCCTCAAAAGTATAATTTTCCGCAACAAAAACTTTTTAGAGAAATTTCGCAAAGAGAATTATGGCACGCGAATGTCTATGCAGAAATGATTTTTCGTTTTCCAAGGCACTTGTGACTTTTTTAGCAAAAATTAATAAACCAGTTTTGACCAGTGACATGCAATCAAACAGTTTTTATTTTTTTTTTCTCGAAAACGAAGTGAGAGACGAAAAAATACAAGATGCCAGAAGATGTATTTTTAGATGCTTAATCAAACAATAAATATCACTGATCAACAGCCAAAAAATATTCTAAATAAAATCAACAAAATATTACTATTTTTAATGTGCTAAAACCGGATTGAAACTTATTTTTTCAATATTAGTTCAAGTTTTAGAGATACGGTAATTATATGTGTTCCTGCTGTGACAGTGTTAATATACTGTAATTCACAAGAATACACGTGCTACATTTTTATATTCGGCAAGGAAAGATGATGTAATCGGCATGATTGTGTTACGTTATACATACGTGTACATTATATTGTTTTATATTAGCCATTTTTTCCTCAGTTGGCTGACAGCGTTCATGCAAGATGTCTCAAAAGTGTGTAAACAATCCAGATCAGTTTGTTACGTGTGTGGTGATGTGACTTTTGCGTCTCAGAGACGGTCTATTACTCCACTAATAACAAAGTCATATCAGCTTTATTTCGGTTGTAAACTAGGTGATCAAGACAAACAGTGGGCGACCCACATCTGCTGTAATACATGTGCTTCAAGTCTGAGGAGCTGGTTAAATGGCAAAAAACGGTCTATGCGCTTTGCTGTCCCAATGGTTTGGAGAGAGCCTACAAATCATATTAATGATTGTTACTTTTGCATGGTACCTTGTGTTGGGCAAGCCGCAGGTATGTCCAAGAAAAAAAATCTGTTATTAACTACCCAAACATACCATCTGCGATGAGACCTGTGCCTCACAGTGACGAAAATCCTATTCCAAAACCCCCAGAATCCTACACTTGCGAATTAGAAAACGAATCAGATCATGGCGATCGAGTGATTCGTCAGGAAGAAGATATGCCATCAACGTCAAGAGATCCTGATTTTATACCGAGCACGTCATGCCACCAACCGCACAAAATAACACAGACAGAATTAAATGATCTTGTAAGAGATTTATAACTTCCAAAATGTAAGGCAGAGTTACTTGGATCAAGATTTCAGCAGTGGAACTTGTTAGAAGACGATGTTTCGGTATGTGCTTTTCGTAAACGCTACAAAGACTTAGAACCATTTT